AGACGTGGTAAGGGCCATACAAGGTGGTGGAAGCCACCGCAATGGCTCATATTCCTTAGAGACACCCGAAGGAAGGAAAATACCAATGTAACACCCGCAGATTCAGACTAGTCAATTTAGAGAGAATAAGCATCAAAAATAAGTTATTGATGGAATATTATTTAGAAGGATTAATCTTAAGCAAGTTGTAGTATATGTTACAAGGGTTCCGACCATATAAATAACGTCGGAATCTGAGTTGTAACGAAGAAGTTATGGCCCGTCGAAGTTTTAGGGCAAAATCGGCACGACACCGATAGACGTAAATAGTGAACTTACGATAGAGGAATTTTTGGCCATAACTATCTAAACAAAAGTTGTAGTATACGTTAAACCGAGAGTGTGCATAAAAAGAACTCCCAAATCTGACTTCGTATGAGGAAGTTATGAATTTTCTAAGATTTAGCATAACAGTGCACGATCCGAAACTCGAATTATAGATCGAGCGGTTTTTGGCCTACATGACCTAAATGAGAATTTAAGATCTCATTAATAGGAAGTCAACGATAAAAAGACATATGAAAACGGAGTTCGTATGAAAGAGTTACGAATTTTTCGCGGTTATTTAACACTATAATCTCCTCCTACTATTAAATTTGAGATCGGCCGAGAGTTAGTCAATAGAGTCTAAATGAAAGTTGTAGATCTTATTTTTACCTATGCGTGGATATAAAGAACGTCAAAAACGGAACTCCTATTCAAAAGTTACGGATTTTAGAAGTCAGAAGTGTGTTGTGCGAAAGTAGGTGACGTGGCACAATCTTGGCCATTGTTTTCTCCCCAAGTCTTTCCACCAGATGGTGACATGTGGCACCAAGTTCAGCCATATTTCAACCTATAAATAGAACCTCTCACACTCTCATTTTCTTCACACCTTACCCATTCTTTCTTCTCTCTACACTCTCTCTAAACCTTCCAAAACTCCCTTAGCGCTACAAGAAAGCCCCAGAGCGCTCGACGGCTCCGAGAAGAAGAGCTTTCGGCTCGGAAGTTCTGCCCTTGCAGAGCCCAACTTCTAGCCATACCCCCTCCTAGGTAAGATACGCCTACACTATTTTAAATATTGTTTTTATTTAAATATAGTAATGTTATTAGGACCTTATAATAAATATTTGAGCTATTATTATGAGTTATATAAGTTTCGTTATAATATCTTTTTAACCAGTCGTGGTATAGGGAATCTGGTTTGGAGGGCCGCTTGGGTTGCTGGATTTCAGAAGTGCTATATGCCAAAATGATCCTGCCCTCCGGTGTTCCATGTCTGGTCCCTGTCTGTACATAGTGGGTGAAAAGTATTGTGTTAACGCTTTTATAATAGTAATAATAGTTAGACTATTAATTAGTCTCGTCGAGCATTAGACTAAACTCTAGTGGTAATGATACTATGTTCTGTCAAATGAGTTGTTTAAAGTAAATGAAGTGTCGTCCGAGTGCCGAGTCACCACCTTTTCAAGTGAGTTCATGATCCCTTTCATCTTACACGTAGATATGAAGTATTTTATATAAACTACGTGCTATGTGTGCATATTATATGTATACTTGCTATCTATGTTGGATGAACGATTTTATACAAGTTTTATATGATTTAAACTGTATATGTATTTATATCTACATAATATGTTGGGTAAAATATGGGTAGATGAAATTTGAGTTGGATGATAAGTTGAGAGGTGATATAGACCATGAGGTAAGGGTGAGAGGTGCACGATGTGAGAAGCCTTGTTCCCAAATGCTAGCCATGTCATCTGTTTATTCTTATGTTTCTGTATTAACGATGACATCCCAAATATTTTAAAATGAATAAAAATACTTTTCTTTAGAAATGCTTGATAACGTATTTATCATGTTTTACTGGGAACAAATTCCGAAACATTTTTATTAAAAGAGGTACTCTGATTTTTATAAAGCATAAACAAAAAATTGGGCTTTTCTGGCTTTGAAAATGGGGCAGTTACACCCAAGAATCCCTACACAGAAGGGATGACAGTTCTAGTAAAATATCCCCTGGCCGGATTGATCACCCGGACTGACAGACGGATGCTAGTATAGTCCGATAGGGAACTTTAGTGCACTAAAAACCAACATGTATCAGGATTACATAATAACAATAAAAACACACTAGTTTTAATATATTATGCACCATGGGCATGTATGATGAAATGAAACACAGAGGATACTTAGTGAGTCCACACACACATATGCACATACTCTCACAAAAAGCAACAAAATGACAAGTTTCAGAATAAAGTCGTAACAAGCAACAAAATTTATACAGCAGGCTTAGTATGCCCAAAATCTCATATATATATATATATATATATATATATATATATATATATATATATATATATCCAAGGGTAAAAAAACACACCCAGTCAATATAAAATAAAAAGAGAGTAATACAATGCAGAGTAGCACCAAGGCAAACAAAAGCAAACGCAACTATTGCCAACTGATACATACGAAAAATACCAAAAAAGGCCTTCAAGGTCACAAGTCATTCGGAAAAAAAGAAAACAAAAACAAGAAGAACAAAGCTTCATC